TAAAATAATAAAATAAAAATAAACAAAAATACAAAAAGTAAAAAAATTAAAATTAAAAATAAAAAACCTCAAAAAAAATTAAAAAAATCAAAATAATATAAAAAATTTTAAAAAAAATAAAAAAATAAAAATACAAAATTAAAAATATAAAAATTAAATTAAAAAATTAATAAGCCGGGTTCAAGTGAACCAAAATCGGGTTTACTTGAACCAAAATTGGGTTTATTTGAACCAAATCCAGGTTCAAGTGAACCAAAATCGGGTTCACTTAAATCAAATCCGGGTTCAGGTGAACCAAATCGGGTTCAAGTGAACCAAAATCAGCCTAATTTGAACCAAAATCGGGGTCACTTGAACCAAAGCCGGGTTGAAGTGAACCAAATCAGGTTCACTTGAACCTAATCTGTGTTCAAGTGAACCAAAATCGTGATTACTTGAACCAACTTCGGTTTCAAGCAAACCAAAAACGGGTCACTTGAACCTAATTTAGATTCCAGTGAACTGAAATCGGGTACGCTTAAACCAAATCCGGATTCAAGTGAACCAAAATCGGGTTTACTTAAACCTAATCGGGTTCAAGTGAACCAAAATCGGATTCAATTGAACCAAATCCATGTTCAAGTGAACCAAAATCGGGTTTATTTGAACCAAATTCGGGTTCAAGTGAACCAAATCCGGATTTAAGAGAACCAAAATCAGGTTCATTTGAACCAAATCCGGGTTCAAGTGAACCAAACCCAGATTCAAGACAACCAAAATCAGGTTCACTTGAACCAAATCCAGGTTCAAGTGAACCAAAATCAGGTTCACTTGAACCAAATCCAGGTTCAAGTGAACCAAAATCGGGTTCAAGCAAACCAAAATCGGGTTTATTTGAATCTAATCTTGGTTCAAGTGAACCAAAATCGGGTTTAACTACAGAATCTGAGATTAAAAATGCTTAAGACCTAGCCCCGGAGCATCGCCCGGGCCTGAGAGCTAGTTCACCCTTTATTTATTTGTTCAACCTGTGTTTGTTACCTGTACTAGTCTCAAAAACCTCTTTGTTATGTGTTGTTGTTTTGTTGTTATCTTCATTATGTGTACTAATTTCGAGAACTTCTACATTAAGTGTGTTGCCTTCAATAACCTCTTCATTATGTGTAAAAGTATTGTTGTCTTGTTTCACAAGTGTTGCTATGTTGTTGTCACTTTTTTTTACCAATGAGCTATTTTCTTTTGTCATGTATATTCTATTTTCTTTAAGTTTTTCCTTATATGTATTTGTTATTTCCTTGAGTTTTTTGGTTTCTTGAGCTACTTGTTCATCTCAGCTAGGGTTGTTTTTGTTAACATGTTCTGGTGAACCTGAGTTATTGCCTTCTACTTCTACTTGTATAGGCTTCACATTTTTGGTGTTTTCCTTATCAGCATTTGTTGTTGTTTTTCATTTTTTTGCCATAGTGCCAAAGCTTTTTATACTATTAAAAGCTTTAAAAGATCTTTTTCTTGAAACAAGAGCAAGTGCTCTTGCTTTGAAACCTTTTTTAAGTTTGTTTGTCTTGCTGTTGTGGTTTATTTTCACATTTAGTTTCACTTCACTTCCAAATGTATGTGGTCTAAAGAGAGTGTATGTAGATCCCAATTATTTTAAAATATTTTGTATATTCTAAAAATACCTAAAATTACTAAAAAAACAATTGAAATCAAAACAAGTTTTTGTTAGATTGATTGCAGGTTCATCATTGCAAACAACTAAAAAGAGAGAAGAAGTATCTTCTATAAGGAGTGATGTTTTGACAACTGTTAGAAGAGAAGCTGAAACTTTTAAAATTATTAAAGCAGCTGAAACTGCAAAAAGATTATCTTGTAATGTTGAAAGAATTGTGCATCTATCTAAAGATTGTAAAATTACTGCAAATTAATTTATGATATATTAAATATTATATAAATAACTTCAATATTTTTATTTTATATCTTTTATATAATTTAGAAAATCTTTCAAAAATATTTAAAAAGCTTTTAAAATTATTAGTAAAAGTTGATAAAATCAAAAGACATCTAAATGAATTAGACAATAAAATTAATGAAATATATAATTTGTTAACAGAAAATAATTTTATAAAAGTATTAGAAATTATTTTTATAATATATAAAAATATTTGCAATTTTTTTAAAAAAATAATAATATATTTTATTTTGAATGTTTAGCAATCAGTTAAAGCAATAGTAAAGAAAGTAATTGAATATTCAATTTATCTTTTCAAAGATGATTTAAGAAAAGCAACTGAAACTTGGATGCCTGAAAATCATCCAAAATATTATAGTTCAATGTTAGATAAAGCATGGAAAACATATTATACTAAAAGCATTGCAGAGCTAGTAAACATCTAAATATATTTAAAATATTTCGAATATATATAAATATTATTAGAATAATGAAGATTGAAGCAATAGTTATATTAAAATTTATTTTAAAGTATTTTTAATTGTATTATAAAATTTATTTGCAATTATTCAAAATATATTTAAAAATATTAAAAATATTCAAATTACTTTAGAAAATTATTAATTTTTAATACTAACATATAATTTTATTTTGATATAATAAATTTAGCTTTTGAAACAGCACAGATCAGTGTAAAGTGGCCTAACAACTTATATTAAAGATGCAATATTTGCAGTATATAGTGAAAGCCAATTAGATTTTATAAATACAAATGCATCTCCTCAAGATGTTGCTATATAAAAAGCTTCTACAAAAACAAAACAATGTTATAGAAAGCTTTTTGATAAAATTAATATATATAATTTAAATTCTAAAACTTATATGCAAAAAATTTTATTTAAGATTTGGCTATTAGACTTATCTTCGAATAATAAAGTTGTATATGCTATAAGCATATACCAAATAATGTTAAGTTTACATTATGAATAATTAATAATATCTAAAGACATTGTTAAAAATTAGCTAAAAAAAACCTAGTAAGATATTTTATAAGCTTTAATATACTTTAAGTTGTTTTAAATAGTTACACAATTTTGTGCAAATATTTGAACATTCTTAATATTATTTAAATTAATTAATAATTTATAATAATTTAAATAAATTTTATTAAATAAATAAAAATAAAATAAAAAATCAGTTACAGAATAATCTAGATTTTGCACTACTTGTCAATAATGATTCAACATCAAGTAAAGATGAAAAAAAAGTAGTTAGCAAAGTATATATTAATTATTTTATTTCATAATTAGAATATTTTATATTAATTTAATTACAGTTGACAGATAAAAAAAAGAATATAAACCCCTCTGCAAACTTCTAAAAAAGCAATTATAATATTAATAACTTATATAATTATTTTTAATTTTTATTATTATAAAAATTTTATTATTACTTTATTATTACTTTATTATTTAGGTTTTTAAAAGAGTTAGATTTACTTAATCTTCTTCAAAATCCTAACCACTTTTACAACTCCAACTGGATCTTAAACAAGTACTAAGTCTCAGATTGAAACTGAGCCTTAAGCTAGAACTGAGCCTTAGGCTAAGACTTTGTTATAGTTAAGGCAGAGTTACAGACTAGAACATTGTTTTAATTAAGAAAGAAGCCTCTGACAGAAGACCTAACAGATTTAGAAGAAATTGAAGATTCACAAGAAGAATCTTTAAAAAATTATAATTTTTATATATATAGATTTTTTTTTTAATCTTAAGCAATTATGCTAGTACTTTATTAAGATTCTTAAAACTATATACATTTATAATTATATAGAATTTCCTAATATCTAAGTTTAGCATCACTCAGCCATCCTATTGGTACCTAAGTGCAATCTGTCACACTATTTTAGTTAGAAATAGACTGCTTGTCTAACTACTTAAAGCTATACAGAAGAGTTTTCTCTCTTTTGTGACAAGCATATCAATTGTTTTTCTAGCTTCTTTCTTTATTTGGTTCATTTTTTCCTTCATTTTTTTCTTTTCTTCTTCCTTTGTCAACTTATCTTTCTCTATTCTTCTTCTTGACCTTCTTTTAATTTAAGTACATTTTTTTATTTTACTTATTATGTTACTCTTCTTTTTCTATTCTTGCACTTTTTCACATTGAACTCTCTATACTTGGTTATAGAATGTATTTCATACTATTTTTGTTACTATGTTTATGCATCTCTGTATTGCCTGTTTATCTAGAATCTGACTAATCCTTTTCAATCTTATTTATAGTTAGACTTTTTATTAGTGCTCTTCTGTTAACAATTTCCTCTGCTTTTGTTTTTCTGAATATTGTCTTATATAGCACTTGAGGTGGAATTTTGGTTTTTTTATTTATTTATTTTTTTTTTGAAAAACACATCTAAGCATGCTTTTTATTTATATATTAAAATAGTACTATATTTATATTGGAGATTTAATATATCTAAGAATGGTATTAATTTTTTTGTTTTTTATAAGGGGCTGTTTATAGGCTAATTTATGAAGCAAGTTAACTTCATAATTGAGCCTGGTTTTAACTATATCTGCTATCGATTGTATTGGGATTATTCTGTTTCCCCATCTAGAGATATGTAGCTATAAGGCAGTTTTATATTTTTTTATATTATTTATATTTGTTGTCTGTAGAATGTTTTCAAATGTGGTTTCCCAGATTGTTTTGCTTAGTGGACATTTTAGTGTAAAATGTTCAATAGTTTGAGAGACCATGGGACAGTTTGGGCAGTCTCCTAAACTGTTATGAGCAATGTGCTTAAGCTGGTAGCCAAGAGGCAAAGCATGATGAGCAATTCACCAAAAAATATCTTTTTTATTGTTTAAGGTTTCAGGAATAGTAAGCCAGCTTGGTGGTAAAGTTATGCCTTCACTGCTTGGTATGCTATTTGGCTGTAGAGTAGACTGTTCATGAAGACTTTTAATTGCTTTTTTGACTGTAAATTCAGCTCTATTCATATAACTTATTTTGATAGAAGATGTTTCCTATAGCCAAATTGTGTTTGCATCGATTTTGCCTTTGAATCTACACTATGCTGTAACATAGGGTTTCCATCTATCTGGCTAGCTTTTAGTTCTGCAAGAAGTTTGCTGAAGTGCTTTATGAACTTGAATATTTCTTTTGTTTGAGAGTTCAATGGATATTAGTCTTCTTTCTGTTCTGGCCCAGAAGGTGTGGCATGATAATAGCTTAATCTAGATTGATAGGAGTCTGGCATCTAACATGTCTTTTAGCACTGAGGCTGCAAGACCTCCTTGTTTATAGCTCATTTAAAATGTTGAGTATTGCGGAAGCATTTTTGAATTATTTTTGATCCAGCCTTTTATTAAATTATTAATTTCTCCTAACTGTTTTCTTGATGATGGTAGAAGATATGCTGAGTACCATATTTTGGATATAATTAATGTTTTGGCTGCGAGAATTTTTCCTTTAAAGGATAGATTTCTTCTTGATAGGTCTTGAATTTTGGATTTAATTTTTTTAGTTAAGTTACTTCATAGAGATTTATCTGGGTTTCTGTATATATCTGTGGTATAACCTAGAATAGTAATTGTCTCTTGGCTGTTATTTATCAGCTTAAAGTTTAATTGCCCAGTGAGTTCAATTCTACAGGCATTTTCTGTAATTGGTATAAGAATTGATTTCGTTTTGTTGATTTTTGCATTGAAGGCTTTTTCATAGCAAAGAAGAATTTTTTGTAGCTTGGACCAGTCAGAAGGAGAGCTGATGCCAATTGAAAGATCATCTGCATAGGCTGCAATTTTAAATTCCTCATTGTTAACTGGTATACCTTTGATATTTTGTTCAATTGCTTGTATTAGTAGATTAATTGCAAGCATGTATAATTACGGAGAGAGAGAGTCTCCTTGTCTGACTCCTCGTTCTACTTTAAATGACTCAGAAATAAGACTGGAGTCTATGATATGTGCTTTTTGAGTGCTGAATAGGGCTCTTACTATGTTGATAAAATTTTTGCTAAAGTTCATTTTTTTAAGAACAAGTTGAATAAAAATATGCTTGACTCTGTCAAAAGCTTTTTGTTGATCTAGTAGTAGCATTCAGTGTTGCTTGAACTGGTTATTTTGATTTCTAAGAGTTGTAATTATGTCAAGTGCTATGTCTGCTATTGATCTATAAGCAATAAAGGCTTGTTGAGATGGTCTAATAATGTCATTACAGATAGGGTTGATACAGTTGACTAAAATTTTCATAAAGATTTTTGCATCCGAGTTAACAAGAGAGATTGGCCTCCA